GATCGATTGCCACTTCGATGTTTCTACGTTCCGATCAAAATGATTCATTTGCTATTGAAGAACAGAAGGCGGTCAATTTGACGGCACGGTAGGTTCATTATGAATATTTTACAAATTATATTTTTGTTTCTTTTCACAATTCATGACTTTTCCTAATTTGCAATGGTAATTCTAAATCTATATAAAAAATCATTAAAAACTACATTATATATGGTATACGAGATTTCTTTACAAATAACTACTAACACCGCACACCGTCGATTTGACGGCTGCAAAAAGAATAATGAACAAACTTTTCAACAAACATGATGAGGGTATTTTTGTTTCATTTATTTTGAGTTTTAGGTAAGTTGTAAGTGTCTAGATTGTTTGTATTGCACTTAGTAGACGTTGGTTTCGTTTAGTGAGCAGTTGTGATTCGTTATAAAAATGCGTCGCCCTTTCAATAGTCTGAAATAGGTCAAAAAGTGTTGGATTTTCAGGATATACAACAATATGTCATAAGCAATAGACGATATACCAGACAATCTCTGTGAAACTCGTGATGCATAATTTCATCTGGACCAGGTGAATGTGTGAATGTTAACGATAAGAACCATATTTGGTTCTTAGACAACTTTACAGACCCCAACACTACTTAAGCTTGGCTCTGAGAAAAAACTCTGTGAAAGCCTTGTTTTGTCAATTTTGAATTATGGTTTGATCCTCTACAACCCTTGCCACTACTCACTTACTAGGAGCAGGTTGCAAAATATTATTAATTCTTGTTGTAGGTTCATATATGGACTACGTAAATATACAAGAGTGTCGTCTTATATCAGGGAACTTGCTTGGTTGAAGTTCGAAAATCTATTTCGTTATCATTTGGGGTCAGCCATTTTTCGTATTCTGTCATCTTCTTCTCCTCCTTACCTCAGAAATAAGTTGGTTTATATAGACGCAATGCACATCCGCGACTTAAGATATCCTTACACTGTTGCTTTGAGGCGTTTTTACCGGTCAGGCTTTCGTAAATGGTTCTCGTTTAATGCTTTACAAGTATACAACTCCATTCCGTTGGACGTTAAACCAGGTAGCTTGGCTAGGTTTAAGCGGATGTAAAAGTAATTTCTTCTCGGTAATCAGAATTGAATATTATACTCTTGCATTATCTGTTCTTATCTTTATTTCTTGCTTGAAATTAACTTACGTTGTTATTTTATTTTTATTTGCTGAATTATTTTTTTTATAATGTTATGTTTTCTTCCTTTTGAATATCTTGTTTCTGTTATTAATTCTAGCTTCGTTTTGCTTTTAACTTATTGGGAATTTCATGTATTATTTTCATATATAGAGGTTAAGTTGAGCAGCTTTCAGCTAGACTTCGCCTTTTTTTTTCAATAAAGACAATTCATTGTTACTATTATTATTATTATAAAATAGCACGAAGAACAATCTAAGAGTATAGATATAATCATAGGAGCTGGGCTGTTCCTAGTTTATTAAAATATCCTTGATTCACACCTAAAAACTCATGAATGTTGTACCTAAAAGTCACAGAAATACATATATTTCTCGGCATGATTTTTATTCTGGAACTATGAAACCAGATTATGTGAAAAAACCCTATATCAGCTGCTACTCAAAGACAAGAAAATAATCTGTAACACAGTAATCTGTGAGCGACGTACTACAAACAATATGAGGTGGCAAAATCAATATAAATGGAAAAAAAATTAAACGTGTAGCATCTGCACATTCTGTAAAAGGGATGGTTGTGGAAAATGTACCGAAGATTTAAAGAAACTATTATTTCTTGGAAATGTCACTCAGTGTAAGTAATAAAATTGTTTATTGTTAATGAAAAAATGAATTGACATTATTTTTACTTCATTTTAAACCAAAAAACGCAATAATTTCATAAATATTCTAACTGGATCTCCAAATATCGTCAAAATGACGACGGCGGTCTTTCAAGGTATAGTATGAAGCCCGACCCTCTATTGTTTAAATACTCTATAGTAAAAATATTTGCAATGAAAATAGAATACACATTCATTTATCTAGTCATTATCGACCTCATAAACTCCTTTCTGAACTTTTCGAAAGAGCAAAATTTTCACTTTATTTCTCTTCAAATGCATATTCTTGTTTTTCATTTCTCTAAAGTAATTTTTGTGGTAAGATAAAGTCGAAAAAATATACGGCTATTAGCACAGAAAAAGCGCGATATGATTTTGTAATAATATTTGAAAACAACACTTGCCTACCAAGAAAAAAGTATTCGTTTCCAATTTATGTATGGAAAAAAATTGTTAAATTGACTAAATGAGGGTATGACCATCAAATTTATGGTTGTCTTATTACTCATAGGACGAAGTCAAGAGTGTTTTCATTGAAAAATTGTATTGTTTCTTTTTCACGAAAGTCATCAATGCTCATCTCTGTAACAGAGTAGTAAGCGGGTATTCATCCTACTGATCCTACATGAAATATAATTTTTTTAATTGAAATCAAAAGTGATCAAATAATTTACTTAATTAAATTAAGATGAAGTAAATTACTCAAAATTAATACTTTAGATTAATCAAGATAAGATAAAGTAAATTACTTCCAGTGTTATTTCGCTAAGTTCATTTCATGTCTCTTCAAACTGTTTCTTAGAGTTGTAGAGTGTTAGGCTCGATTCGTTGGCTCGAAACATTGGCAGCAGAAGTGCGTAAGGACAAGAGTTATTCACTTCCTCACTCAAACTTATTGCGAATCCGTATGTTACTACATTTACCTTACATAACGATATACGATCGCAAATAGTCCCTTTAAAATACGGTTACGACCGTTCACTTAAAACGTTCGTTCGTTCTAAAAAATCGTTCCAGTGAACAGTTCCGGAAAAAAACGCCTACTATTACTTCGTAATTGGGAACCACAGATTTAAGAATGCTCTGTGGGGAACGATAACATAACCTCAATAAGGAAAACTGCATGAAACTAATACATTGTAAATTTAACTCGCTGTATAGTTAAAAAAAATGAGGCGTATTGAAGGCAGTTTCGGTGGAAGAGATGTAGAAGAAGATAAGAAAAGAAGTCGTGATGCAGTTCTTGGCAATTTCGTGATATTTGGAATAATGATAGCAGCTATACGCATCAGTAAGATTAGTATATTCTTATGTCATTGACAAAATTTCTTGTGTCTTTCTTTTCAGTTCCTTTCGTAATAAGAAATGAATGAGGAGCATTTGTTCTATGTGAGTTTGTCCGCGATTGGTTCTACCAAAAATGTCAAGAAATGCGTTGGAGGAGAGATTGGCTGTACCATTTATTGTGATAAAAATTTTGTACGTTTTACATTACTTTGTTAAGAAATGTTTATCATAATATTAGTAGAATGCAATAAATTGTATTAGTATTGCGCCTCAGAAACTTTTATTCTTTAAATTTTTATTTATATTAGGATAAGTTCATATTGAAAAATTTTCCGAACAAAATAGAATTCCAGAGCATAAAAATCAGACTAATCAATGTTTTTAAGCATATGCTTAAAACAGTTGGCAAAAAATTTATGTGGGTTGATCTTCTTGAAAAAAATATTTAAGTGAAAAAAATCTACATATCAAAATCAACAGTTAATATTGAAAAATTTAATTTATTTTAAATGAGATATCGTTATCTCATATTTAAAAGAATGATAATTTTAAGGAGAAAAGCGCAAAATAATTTTGAAGTATGTATATATAAGAACTTATTTGTTCAAATAAAACTATCCTTTTGTATAGCCTAGTAAAATTTCAATTGGTAGCAAAGATTATATTTTCTTAGAATATAGTGTAATAAAGTCTCACATACTTGTTCATAAAATAAAGCATGTGTTGTCACCAGACTATTTACAAGAGAACCTGATAAAATTTTGTGATATACACTGATATAGTACTAGGTCAAAAGAAAACTATCTTGCAGCATAAAAATACGAGATTGGGCCAGAATTGTTTGTTTTTTAGAGTACTAGTGGAATATAATAATCTTCCAGCTGACATAAAGAACTTAAACTTGAAGCTTTCAAGATCAGACTGAAAGAATATTTGACAAGCCTTGGTGATAATCATTTTATCTATTATTAATCAGGTGTTAATTAATATGTATGTTTTTCTTTATTTCATGAGATGTATATTACTCAAATAATCTAAAATTGTATAGCTTAATGCTAAATAAATTCATTCATTCATGAAGTTACCAAAAAAAGTCAAAAGTAAATACTTAAATAACTTAATTTTGATGATAATATTTCTGACCAACTTTGTGAAAACTGCAGTGCAAGTCACTGCAGTGACTTTCTTTGTAGTTTTTTCTTACTTTGAAGTTCATTCTTTGCAAAATATTACAAATTATCTTGAAGTTTACATAATGTAAAAACGATTTTGTTTTTCACTTTTGATGGCTAATAAAAAAAAAAGAATTTAAGCTAATAATTACATATATCATACATGTATATATATATATTATATATATATATATATATATATATATATATATATATATATATATATATATATATATATTATATATATTATATATATATATATAGATATATTATTTTCAATGTTTTTAGCAATAACAGGCTTATTTTAATGTTAACAACTTTATTTTCGTTGACGTTTCGTTGTTCATCACAATTTTGTCAAAACTAAAAATAGTTTTGACAAAATTGTGTAACCTAAGCTACCCACTTTGAGATACAACTTCAATTTATATCTAACAACTCTTTTATTCGTCAAGCTAGTTATTCGACGCTCGGATTGTCGTCTTTGAAACTGCAGGCGAAAGGTAGTGAACACCTACCCATACTCCCAGATGTATTAAATATTTTCCTTAAGGAACAATGATAAATGTACAGTAATTTTTCGTGTTAACCAACCACGTGCGGACATGAAAAATGGATTATTATTTTTATAGTGATAATTTAGAATTGAAAGCACATCTGAAAGTTTTCGAACCCAGGTCTTCGGGGCCCCATTTTTTTTAACTCGGTAGTTTAGCGGTTAAAAGCAGTGGAGCGTAAACCTGGGTTCGAATCCCAGTTGAGTTCGAAAACTTTAAGATGTGATTTCAATTCTCAATTTTTATTATAAAAATAATAATCCATTCTTCTTGTCCGCAAGTGGTTGGATAACACAAAAACTTACTGCACTAAATATATATATATATATATATATATATATATATATATATTTTAATGAATACCTTGTTATTCTATTCTGGAGGGTTATCAACCAAGCTAGATAGACTCAAGTAAAATATTTTTTATTTCTAACAAACTATACTACACAATAAATTAAAATTGAATAGTTCTATAAAATTTTAGATGTCTATCACATATTTCGGACGGAATAGGTTTAATTATTTATTACAACACGAGATCAATTTTATTCTAAGTTTAAGTACAAACTGGTATCTTCAATCTTGATTAGTTTTTTAGGATCCACTTTTCCCGAACACATTGGGCAAGAATTGTATTCCTTATCTAAAATACTGAAAATAGAAAATATTTAAGGAATTTTTTGTAAAGTATGATTCTGGATTTTATCTGATTGTCTTTACTGCAATAGTTTGTGAAGCAATTTATATCAGATGATTTGTTAATGCTTTATCAAAAAAAAGACTTAGCTTGGCAAGTTTCATTTATGAAATTTGCAGGTTCTCTTATGTAGGATGATGTTTGATCTGCATAAGTCAGAAGAAATGAGATCAGATATTTTGCAATATAGTACGACAGCTGATTTATCTGATATAATTATCTAATTTCATTTTCATAATAATAAGAATAATAGAACACCAACACATTCCCTAAATTGGGACATAACGGGGTTTAATAGCCAAATTGCTCTCTTTTACAATGATGAATATTCCATACATTATATGAATGATTATAAAAGTAGAAAAGTGAGCATGAATACATAAATGAATATTAAAGTGAGCATTACATGAATGAATATTAAAAGTAGAAAAGTGAGCAATGTCTTTTGTGTATTTTCAGTATGTAGTACCGTATATTTGCCGACAGCACAAGCTAGCAGTATTTTTATATACACAGAGTATACTTATAGTAATAATACTATGTAACCATTTTTACACTCAAATAATATATAGGTCAGAAATTTAAAACCTTAGTCAATACATTATACTACGTCAAAACAACTTACTCAAGAAATTCGACTCTAATAGCAGGAAAATCACACTCAGGACATGCTGTTAAATCATCCCTTACTATATGACGACCCTAAAAAAAAACTTAAAGTAATAATATAGTTCTTACAATAATAATAATTATAGTGTATAATTTTATTATGAAAAATACAAGATAAAATCACAATTGATCAAAATCTAGAACCCAGATAAGTGAAGAAGACTTTTTTCTATTCTGGTCATTTAACTCTGATAAAAACATCTAAGTGATAAAATTTATAAAAATATCGGAAATAAATTATTTTAACACTGACCATGAGCATCAGTCATTCAAGTCCAAAATTGGAGTACTGCAACTGTAACCCTGACAAAATCCTCATTGAAAAGGAGGATATAAGTTACGACAGTTTAAATATTCCCTAATCTGTTTGTTTATGATGTATTGTAAATTTTTGAAAAATTAGAACGAAGATTAATAGGACGCAAGTCTTCGTAATTTCCACATTTTAATTTTTATGTAGTGGTGTTACCTAAGCAGTCTTCCATTCTTCAAACTGACTTTTTTATAAACACGAATGCATAATATTCAAAAAACGATTTGCATATTGATTGACAACAGAGTTTCAAGATTTCAATATTCATTCCGTCTACCCGCAGCGCTAGTCTTGCTTTTTTGAAAGGCGTAATAAATTCATCGAGATTAACCAAACTGAAACTAAAACTATTCTCAACTGTATTGGGATGCGGATTTTCTAAAAAATAGTCCATCATGAAATTATTATTGGCAATAATTTTCGGCACATAATTTACAAAGTATTTATTGATTTCATTATTTCGCACACGAGAAGGAATTCGATGCGAAATATATTTTTTTATCCCTTCATAATTATAACTCATATTTTTGCATTTGAAACTATACCTTTGGAAGTAGTAATTACTTACTGTGACTATACAGAATGGAATATTTAACTTGCAATTGGTGCAGAATATATCAGTTTCAGGTAAAATTCCTCCACAATATGGACATGGTGTAAGGGCTTCAAGGGGATCACCCAGTGGTTCACCATTTTTACCATTTTTTGGTGGTCTTCGTACAACACCTTCGATTTTTTTTGCATACTTTGCATCTATGTTTTTCCTGTATTCTGGATTCATCAACAACGAAGCATACTTAAATGCCGCATGTCTCAAGCCCGCCCTGTGACATTCAATGACTGTTGAAGTTAAAATAGGGACAATATCTGAAAATGTTCATTAATCAATATGCTGAAAGTGCAAATCAACTGGATCTTTGTAAAAATAATTAATAATTTTTAAAATTATATTTTGTGGGTTTCTCGAAGTAAGATAATATAATAAACAACAGATATCACAAGCTAGATAAAAGAGGTTGAAATTGAAAAAAATTTACATACTGATAATTTCATCAGGGCAATTGTCACGATACTTTGAAAAAAAAAAGAATTATAAAATTAAAACAGTATAGAATAGATATATGTGCGTATAAAACATCAACTCTCAAATCACACTCTAGTAGATGGACGTCGTTCTCCTAAAGCTTCACTTGCATCGACATTCACAGATTAACTACATTCAGAATTAAGGATTTTCAAGTTATCTGATAGTGGTATCATCCTTTGAGTAAAACCAAAGGTTAAAAATTTTGTTTTATCATCTCTTAGTAAACTTAATTATATTCCTATAATTAAGTTTAATAAGTATAACTTAATAACTATTCCTTAATTTTGAGGATAACTAATTCTGACTTTTGATATTTCATGTCTAAAGTTTTCTCCTTATAATTACTTATAATATATATAAAAGTATCATATGTATAAAAAAAAATCTCGTTCAACTAATATTGATAGCACTTCATTGATATAAACTGTAAAAAAAATTGGATCCAGCACTGTCCCGTTTTGTAAGAGAGGAGTAGCAATTTGCAATTCCTCTTACTCCTGTATCGTAAAGTCTTTTCAACATGATACCGGGATCCACAGTGTAGAAAGTCTTAGACAATATCCAAAAAATCAATATAACCCTATCCCGATCATTCATGTATTTCAATCTATTCTCAGTAACATTACACAAGGTTTACTCTGTTTTTATTAAAATGCAAATGTACAGTGTAATTAAATTGCAAAAGCAAAGTTAAAATGCCCCTTTAAGGACTTTTGGATACACACCTTTTATAATGTTAGCAGTATAAGCTGTATGTCAATACTTGTTTTCACTTTTACTTCACAACGTATCCGTCCAAAAACTAATGAAACATAAAGAACATGAAAGATAAGATCAAAATAATACCTAATTGCACTATCATTTGAATGAAATAAATGATTTTTTTGTTCAAATTTGAATGTCATTTGTATGAGTACTAGGACCAATTATTGAATACATAAATCAAAATTATTCACAAAAATCAGAACTATTCAAATAATTCTGATTTATCTGGCAATGCAATATTTTTAGTAAAATACCTTGTTTTGTACAATAAATGTATTGTAATGAAATTAAATTGCGATGAGACCCTTAGATTCTTTTACTTACGAGAAGGAAATTTTGATATGTGATTTGCCACTCTAATCAACATTCTTGCACCTTTAAGGTGATCACCCCTTTTCACATGTAATCGAACTAAAATATAGCTGTGAAGGAGCAGTAAGTTAAAGAACATATCTTGTGGTATCCTGATATTGTTATTTTTCAATTCTTGATACATGCCAAACAGAACGTCGTGTGCATTCCTGTAGTTTCCATTTATTTGCTCTTCGTTAGCTATTATTATTGCAGATTTCGAAGCCTCCTTATACTGTTTTTTCGCCATATAAAGACGAAAGAGGTATTTTGGATCTTTGGGTATACCATCTGTCTCTCCTAATAGATATTCAATTAGATTGTTACATAATAGATCACTTTTAGAAGTGGCTACTACGTCTATAGCTGTGGTTATGGCATCATTCTCTTTTGAATTCGATCTCGCGGCTGTAATAAGATGTTTTAGGGCCTGAAATGAAATAGATTACAATGAAAACATGTCCAAAATATTAACAATAAGGTGCACCATATTGAAATCGCAAAACAGAAGTTCACTATATACTCAATATTATACTCAATTAAATGCATTAATTTTATTCTATTGTATAATAATATTGATATCAATATTAAATGCCATATTCTATTTAATAATGTAGGTGTTAGGCAAACATGCCAACTGAGAATTAATCATAATGTAACAAACGAAGTACTCTACACTAAATACTTGGGAATAACACTTGACAATACCCTCAACTCATATTATAGATCTGATGAACACCCTAAATGCACTCTGTTTTTATAAATATTAAGATGGAAATAACGATCAATTTAATATAGATGAAGAATTTTCGAAGATTTGTTGGTAGGAATGATTATGAAAAAACAATTCAATAATTTGCCGACGTTTCGTTTATTTTTGTAAACTTCCTCGGGGCTATGAAATAAATTAATGGAAATACTATAAATAATATGATAAATTAAAAAAACAAATGGAACGTTTATACATTACAAACCTTAAATGATTATATATATATATATATATATATATATATATATATATATATATATATATATATATATATCTTATATGTGTATCTATAAACATATATAAATACATATAATTCTTGTAAGTATGACAGAGAACATATCAACAAAGTAATACTTTCGATAATAAGGCGGAAACTGAATAAATGATGGAAAGAGATCCGTTCAAAGGTTTGTGCGACAGATGGTGTTTGAGTTATTATAATGTAAAGAAATAAAAAATAGCAATATATACAAAAACATCAGTTGTGCAAAACTCCCATTAAATTAATTTGTCAGAGATCTTTCACATCAATCTGTCAAAGATCATTTGCATTCTTG